AGGGAACAGAGGGGTTTAGTGAGGTATGTGATCCCACTATGGGGGGAGAGTCCCACATAACTCTCGTGTCTGCCCCGAGGCACGGAGTATACGTAACGCAAAAATAGCCCTGAATGAAGTATATTTTCATATTTACTTACTCGATTGTTGACAATTACTTACTCGATTATGAAAGAATGCTCCTTTATCAAACTAATAAGCAGGTCTCTGGTTTCATTATTACTTAGAGTGTCCGAAAATTCCGTTTTACATTTGTACTTGAACATTTGTATGTGACCAATAATATGGAACACTAACATATAATTAAGAGAGTTGAAGACCAGAAGAATAATACATCCCATGATACAGACGTAGGTATTAATTATATGCGTGATTGCCCAATTCCTGATGTTGTATTTATAATCATATGGCATCCAAAGGTATAATACCGTTTGTAACGTAACAGTTTGATTTTTTATTCCATCTCTATTTAGCGAAATGTGTCGCAAAGGTATAACAATCCAGAGCAATAAGTCAGTTAATATAGATAATGCTAAAAAAAGGATAGCCAGTCGAGTATATCGTTCTACTTTGACTGCATTCTGTAAAAAAATGGATGGTGAAATAGTATATGATAACTAATTAAATGTTTTTTTTTTGTTACAATAACAAACATTACTTGACGTGTGAATGCGTTCATGTCTTTGTAGTTGTATAGATGTATTTTGTCCATAAATAGTTTCATAACTTTTTCAAAACTTTTGAATTGCGATGAAAGAATACAAGCCTGCAAACGGAAAACAATGAAAATTACATAATAAAAATTACAATTATATTTTTCTATAATAGTGTTTTACTTATTTTAAACTAGCTTTCGCCCGTGACTCCGTTAGTGTGGAATTAAAAAAAAAATCAAGTAGCCTTGTGTTCTTCCAGACTATTCTCTACATTTGTGGCAAATTTCATCGATATGTTCAACAGATTAGGCTATAAACTTGAATAAACCTTCACCATCCACCTAAACTTTCGCATTTATAATATTTGTGAAATTGATTTATTACTTACATATACAATACATGATACAGGAAATGTTGTTAAAAAAATACTGAACGTAATAAAAGGGATTGTTTTATAATTAAATAAGACATAGACTATTTGTGAGGAAACGATAATCGGTGAAGCAGTTAGCACCAGTCTTCTATGATATATTTGAACTTTGTTAGGCTTTTTGTAGCCCCACCACTCTTGATTACCAACAGACAAAAATGTTGCTAAAGTCGCAAAATTCCTATAGAACCTTTGATCTTTTGGAGATTGTCTGCAAGTGAAAAAAAAAATCGATAAGGATCGTTAAAAAAATTCCAGTTCCTCTAGTGTTGTTGATGTCTCTGGGCATCGGATCAATTAGTTTTAGGCGATCCGTTGTTTGCTTTTCACAATTGCTGTTTACTAAATAGCAGGTTATTTTCCATTATTCAATAATATAAATATAAATCCACACTTTTAATTTACTCACAAAACATATTTGTCTTTCGCCATAGTTCCTCTTTCTCTTTAAAACTGAACAAGCAATGAAAATCTTGTAATATCGGACTATTATATAAACTATTTAAAATAGTATCCATTACACGACGACATTTTATTTGTAGGATTTAAGATAATGTTGAGAACCTACAATTTTTTTTAATTACTAACACTTAATATTTAATTACTAAAGTGTTGTGAAGTAAAGTAAGTTTTTTGTTTTTAATAATTCCAAAGAAATATGAAAATTTTCGTCTTTACTACTAAACAATGGATACGAGGCAATAATTGGTACTTATTTTAAATTGAAGAAAACATTCTACGTTCTTTAATTTGAAGCAATCGTATTGCAAGCTCTTTCAAATTACGAGTAATTCTTAAGTCAATTATATCTATAATTTTGCTTCGGAAAACAAAAGGTAAACGATTATTTGTTTGTGTTTGTTTTCGTAAAATTATAACTGACAGTAAAAGATAATTTTATCAAGAAGAAAATGTTTTATGTTTATGAACTAAGCAAATACGCGCAAAAAAATTACATTATACATTTATTACCTTTGATATTTTTTAATTTTTCAAAGTACAATCGTTGAAAACTATCTTTTTAAAAACCGACGAAAGTGCTCAAAGTAAACACCTCTAATTGCACGTTCATTGTAAATTGTAAAAAGAATATCAGATTTAGTATTTCAGTGGCTTCGAAATGCTAAAAGCGAGGTTTTTCACTGCTTCACAGAAACCGCATTGTCTCCATATTTCAACAGAGAGAACATACTATAAAATTTCACGTAGCAAATGTGCGTAATTACTGCAAAATTATATTATTATAGTCTGTTACAAAAGAGACATTTATACATTTTTTATTTGGACGTGGCTAAATTTACTTTAAAAATATGTAGTAAACATCTGCTTTTGTTTCTTTTAACAACTACTTATTCATATGGTTACATGTAACAATGTTTCTTCGTTGAGTTCGTGTAGTCCAGTCGATTTATTAGCGGTTGTCGCAGGTGCAACGGAGCAGGTTGAAGTTTCTCTGCTTGCGTAATTATTTCAAGCCAGTCTTATCTTATCACATTATCATAATAATTAACTTGAACTGTTTTTAAGTAATGGAGCTTAGTATGTTTTACAATAACTTTGGTTATAATGACCATAAAAGTTTAAAGTAAAGAAATATTAAAATTATTTCATTCAAGAATTAATAACAATCTGCAGTCGAACATTGGTAGAACTTTTCATCTTTGCGCGAATGTGTCGGATCGCCCGGTATAATACCACGACCACACAGAAGACAGGCGTGAAGTGGGAACAATTCCGCGTTTCGTCTGATTAATGTGGTGCCGGAGGCCCAACTTTAGTCCCTTTTCCTTCCCACCCTTTTATGTATAAGAATAGGATGGAAAGGAAACGTGGATTTGACGGTGACGAAGACACATAGGAAGAGAAAATATCTTCTTTATGTGCATCTCCTCATCCGTCGATGAAGGGTAGGCAACGTATCCGGTTATTGCGAATGTCTATGGACAGCGGTCGCTTCGGTATTTCGGCGGATTCATGTGGCCACTAGTCCGTTAGCCGCCTTACGATATAAAAAGGAAATTATCCTACAAACAAATATTAATGTCAGTAAAATAAAATTCAAGTCATCATTTATGATAAAAACACACCTAAATATTAATGAGATCATAACACAAAAACTTACAACATACAAAGATTGTTATAATAAATAAATATGTAATACAAACTATGCTCGTAAATCTACTGCTGTTCGGACAGAGTAATCGATCATGCCGTTGAATATTATGTATTTTCATGCATCCGTTTTTCCTTATCCGACCTTGTATGATCTGTCTATTTTGTATTACTCTACACGTCCATCCATCATCTTTTAATTACGTATCAATTCACCAAAGCTTACGTAAATATGTATCACTAGATTTTGCCCGCGACTACGGCCGCGTAGAATTAAAAAACAATACCGTTTCACCTTATGTGTCCTTTCAAACAGTGTTCTACATATGGCCCAAATTGAACCATTCCAGATATAAGTACCAACAAACATCCAACTAAAGTTTCGCACTTATAATATTAGTAAGATAAGAATTATTCATAATATATTTGTACAGGAAACGTTAAAAGAGGTGAAGCAATTATTTGTCATAAAGTAGCTTAATTATAAAAGAATGTTTGTTTTCTTCACGCTATTCTCGTTATAGTACTTAAAGACGTAGAAACTTCAGTCATAGTTCTCATACATAACGTAATTTTAACTAGCAATAAAGTCATTTGTATACAAGCTATTTAAATATCGACTAATAAAAATACAAACCTGAGTTGAGTATTCATAACTTTACCTTCACTCAGCTAAACATAATAAAAACAAATATTACGTTCAAAGTAAGTCAAGCACTACTTTAGTTATGATGAAAAATATTAAAACGAAATGTAATGCTTACAAAGCGTTTGTGTTTTTTATTTATGTTGGCTTTACCAAATTTATTTTAATTGTGTTAATTCATTTTATGTGTACGATGCACTTTATGTATTTTTATAAAAGCAAACATTATCTATGCTATTATAATAAAGCGTAAACACACACTTCTTTGTTGCCTAAGATGTCAGCAATCACAGCGTATTTTTAAATAACCCTTATTTTATAGAAAGCCCTACACTTGCGTCACGCTTTTTGCTATATATTTTAACACCATTAAACTTAGGGGTAAATATTTTGAACAAAACCTCTAATGTGGGAGAGACCATAAGTTGCTGCCAACATCAAGGAAGCAAGGTTGTCATCATGTCATGTCATTTTGACATTTGTAATTGATAATATGACAAATGTAAACAATAAAATAAAATTTTCATAATTTCATGCGGATGAAGTCGCAGGGGAACAGCTAGTATGAAGCTAAAATTAAGAATGTTAATGTACGGAAAATGTACAAAATGTACAAAAAAATGTACGGAACGTGACGTAATTTTGGTTAATGGTAAATTCCAACTTTCAAACTCGATTTAAATATTCGAATTTATTGAAATGTTTAATCAAATCATTTCATTCATTAGAAAATCATGAGAATGGATTTAAAACTTCAAAAGGATTGTCAAGTAAATGATATTATTTAAACATATTGGGACTTTAATATTGCATCAGTTTCAATTGATGTGAACAGAACTGCCCATTAGGCAACTGATAATTAGTATTTCTCAATTCATAACATAAGGTGTGAATTTTTTCATTCTTCTTTTTCCCTTGTCGCGTCGTGCTATTGAAATTGGGCATATAATGCTCTGGAACAAGGAGTAACCTAGATTTGTATTGAAAATAGGCCACATTTGGCTCGAATCCAACTCGGAACCTTTCAACAATTATAATATTGGTTGTACAAACGCGTGGTTCAGTGTTCAACTTGGTATTAAAGTTGTAATTAACTGTATTTTTTATTTTATTTCTTAAATTAAATTAAGAATCGAATTCTCCTTCACTCGTTTTTTTTATAATTGTTCTAAAAAATCTAATCTTCATTCATTTGTAAACTTGAAAAAATATAGAATAAATAAACTTTACTCCAAGAATGTTTTGGACCGATAACTTTTCTTTTTAGCTGTTGTTGGCATTGTTTAAAATTATACTGTTTTTATCTGATATTTTATGAAATTTATGGCGCGGTAGTAGTTGCCTTAAATGGATGTAGTCACGAAAGTGGAGTGCAAATTTTTGCTACGGATAATGATTCGCGAAAAGATTGTTTTTCACGGGCGTTGCAAAAAGTGGTTCTGCTTTTTAGATTCTTTTTGTATAGAATGTTATTTGACTTTATTTTATTCTAGCTATTTCTCGCGACTTTGTCCGCGTGAAAATAAAAAGTATTAAAAACTTTTTAATAAAAAAACAAAACCGACTTCCAAACAAAATACACTAAAAACAAAACAAAATGCACTAAAAACAAAACAAAATATTCTCAAAAAAACAGTACACTAAAAAGTAACGAAATAATTACTTGAAAATAGTAAACCTACCTTATTGTAACTGTTATGTCTATATTGTACAATTATTATTACTTTGATGTCGGTGTCAGCCAAGGTATGCAGTGATATTTCTACGTAAGGGTTTCCACATTTTTACCATAACAATTGACAATTGAAAGTATAGTAACAATTAAGTAATGAATCTACATTGACATTTATTTGGATAAGGATTCATACCGAACTCGAGTAATAGCGTTGAAAGTTGGGTGTAGATTTCGAGCGATATTTTAATGAAAAAAGTGGTTATTGTGCGACAACCTTAATAGATAGATATATGCTATCGCGGACTTTTATTTAGCAAATTTAATGGGCTACAATTCTTCAATACATCATTTTTATGTATGTCTTATAGTTTAGGCTACGTAAGCAAAGAAAGCAAAAATGACCCGAAATTTCGTCGCGCGATTTTGAGCTAAACTATTTAACTACGTCGTAGTCTTAGACTCCAAAAATTAAACAAAAAAATGGAACCCACCTGCAAGCATTACCTTTCGGATAAAAAAAGAATTATCCAAATCAGTCCACTAGCGGCGGAGTTATTCCGTAACACACATAAAAAAAAAATAAAAAAAAACATATCGTCGAATTGAATACCTCCTTCTTTTGGGAAGTCGGTCAAAAATATAGCCTTATACTACTCAGTGATAACGTAACTTTTTGATAGAACAAGTTTTGATTTTTGAAATTGGTCCAGTAGTTTTTAAGCTATTTAAATACGTACAAAAATACAAATCTTTATGTTATTAGTATAGATATTAAATGAATAGTGTTAGTCAGTGCTGGTATCAAATTGTTAAAATAATATGGTAAAATAGTTTAAAAATTGGACAAATGATGAAAAAATCAAGATTGTTTTCAAAGATATAGGCATTCTAGTGAAATAGACATAATATTAACCATTATAACATACGCATGCATAATAAATAGAGGTGTTCACGTATTGAGAAAAGCAATTAAACACTTCATAGTATCCAATATCTATTTGTAAATGTACTCAAACGGAGTGTTCGTGTACGTTGTGTACAAAGATGGTTTCGTTATTCACTCCAATGAACAATCCACTTAGAAGTTCATAAGCCTTGCACTTACTCAAATGCATTCTTAGCTAACTAAAATATCGTTCTAGAGTTACTTCGTTTGTGGATTAATACTCGTAGATTGTTTTTGTAAAATAGATAACTACGTTAAAGTGTTCACATTATTCATGTATATTGAAAACAGTTATTAGTCACTGTAGAATATTGTATATTTTTTTATAAGAGAAGGGGGCAATCGAGCGGCGGGAACACAAAGGTGGTCAACGACGCCCATGGACCTCCGCAACACCAGAGGAACTACAGATGCGTTGCCGGCCTTTGAGGAAATTGTAGGATCGCTGTGCGGGGCAGTAAGTTCAGCGAAAACCGCACGTTGTGGAATGCCCGCCATCGATATTGTTAGTATGGTACCTGGCGGTCTGTCGTGACGTCCGATGACGAAACTCATCATAACTCCCAATAAGATAGTTTTATATTTAGCTTGATTCAAGATAAATGGTTCCTTATGTATTTAAATATTTAGGCTTATCAAACTGTTAATCAAAAAGCCCACAAGTAAAGATAAAATATACATTTAATTTAAAATAAAGTAAATAGGCCTTCATGTTAAGAAGAGCTCGCGATCGCCAAATCCGTCAGAGCTTATTTGGCCCTCGGTTCAGATAACAAACAGTCGGTTCAAACTTCTTAAGTTGTCTTTACCTCTAAAAGTATTTTATCCGCATTAGACTCGTTAAGCGGACTTTATACCGATATCCCCTTTGAAAACGTTACTTTATATCAAATACTAGGTCTTCTTTCCGGCTTCGCCTATTTATTTCTAAGTTTTCGTACTATTTATTTCATTAAGTAATTTCCGTATCTAAATAGGATTAGTCATGAAAGTTTGGAGTTAGAAGACCTTGGGACATACAAATATAATAAAGATGTCTATCTAGAGTTAACATGAAAATCTTGCTTCAAATATGAAAGATTTCTTCAAATCTTCGTAAAGTCAAAGCGAAGCATGCCATAAAAAGTTTGGCTAACGTTTTAGAAGTATCGATCAAATCAGTTTCTACAATGGGGCCGCTAAGAGCCTGGCTTCCAACTTTAGTGCGGCTTTATATCCCACTGGAGCAATCATAGATATCGCATAAATCTAGGCGTTTAGTTGGAGCTAGCATTTGTCGGTGAATTTGTCTGTATGCCTTTCTTTATCTCTACACTTATTTGGCATTTTAAAAATATTTAAAGATAAAATAACATAAATTATGTTTATTTTATTAAAATGTGAATGCATTTATTTGAGATTTATCAATATTTTTACACTAATTTCTTCAACTTATGTCATAATGTTCAGTCCGTATTAATTAGCGCTGTAGCTCAAAGTTTAACATTTTTGTTTCATAAGAAAAATTAATGACATAAATTTTAATGTAACAAATTTTAATAAATGAATTACTTGAGTGTGAAGTTTAATTTGGAGTAGTAGGTAATGTAGTTTATAGACTTGTTACGTACGTGACACAACATCTCGGTGTCGCAGCATCCCGCCAACAAACAGACAATGCTCTTGACAGATCCAATCTTCTTGTTTTCAATCTAATCAATTCGGATTACTTTGCATTGTACACTTGACGCTCGGCAGACTCGGCTTGGCTCGAAAATATTCGTTTAATTGCGTGTTGTAGCATACTCTTTGAAATGTAGATGGATCTTGATGATTACTAAATTATTTTTGTGCAAAATAGTTTGGTTAAAACTGATAATTATCTCAACTGCTTTCTTCATTTATACTATTTTTTTCACTACTGTTATGACCCTAGTATTAAATTAATGTTTGCCTACAATATTTTACAACTACCAGCTTACTATACGTCCCCACCGAGAAGCTCGGAGCCTAAGTAAGGGGTGGTGTATGTTACAATACTCCGAGTTAATAGTCACTAAGGAAGTCCTTTAGTGTAGATTTATTAAGAGAAAACTACAGGACTGTTTAAGATACATACGTGTCAATTCTCATTAAAATAAGTGTCATTAATGACAATTTTTCACATTAAAATAAGTGTCATTAATGACAATTTTTCACATTAAAATAAGTGTCATTAATGACAATTTTTTTAATGATACATTTCGTGTGTGAAAATCGTCTCTATTGACATCGTAGAGAGCTTACAATGGCTTGTCGAGTTAAGATTTACAAAA